TATTAATAGGTTTCATAAATAACATTCTGTATTAGTATCGATCTCCAACTATTTTCAAAAATTCCTAAATACGAATACAGGTCAAAAGAGGTTTGAAATGTGGCAAAAACGTACAAAGGTACAAAGGTACTTCGTTACAAACACACAACTCGATTTCAAATGTGCATCATGCTCTCCAAGGTGTACTCTTCGGAATTTGACAGTCAGTTACGAAGCATTCGTTAGGAGGCTCTTGTGAGGATGGGCGAAGAATGCTCAGGTTCGCGCCGCCTTGTGAATACACTAACTAAACCAAACACTTACTCATTAGTTACGAGTAACTCCTTCAACGTTAACAATTACAATATCAATGGAGTCTGTCCCGAATCTGTAAATGTCCTGTAAATCAGTAAAGATATTTCGCCCCACATCGTAAGAGGTTAGGTAATATTGAAAATATTCATTTAAACTCATCATAAAACTCACCAAGAGAAAGAAAATCGATGTTAGTTTATAATTGGAAAATTTCAACCGCACTGTTTAAAATGCAGGTAAAGAATAAAATAGCTCGACAATACAATACAAAAAACAATACATCATCATATCTGCACAAATCACTCCATGACATCCAATCGCTTACTGAAAGAAAAGTGAGGTAGCACAGCTGAAGGTTATAATCGAACAGCTGATCGGCCAAATAAGAGACATATGAAAAAACATCCAAGTATAATCGAAAAGACATAAATATTCCATCAAAAAATTATCAAGTTACTATTTATTTTTATTTCTTATATAACTTCATATTCATTTTCTCTGTTTTACATTTTATTCTAAGATCACCAATTTAGTACTTATGTCGCCTTATTTTGATTATGTTTACTTCATTATTCCACACTTTGTAACCGTTATTATTATTAATTAATAATAATTACTAAGAGTTCTTGTTATTGTCATTATTCTACCCACTTCATTTTACTTCAATATATTTTTCTTACCTAAATTGTTTAGGTTCTTTCCTTAGTCCTGATGAAGGCCTGAACTTCAGGTCGAAACGTCGGCAAATGTTAAAATAAATATTATTATTTATTTTTGCCTTTTTATATCTGACTGATCATCCAAACCATCCTTCTCTTCATTATTCACGAAAGTCAACCATCAACCCACAAATAATAAATATATATATATATGAAATGAAAATATACATTATAGAAGATTATCTTAAAAAAAACAGTTTTTAAATTGATAAGTTGGTATAGGAGTTCACTCAAAAATACAAACTAAAATTAAATAAAGGATATTTTCACATGTTTTATATTATTCTTCCAACATGTTATACTTTCACATACATATTATAATTTTCTTTTTAATGTTAATAGCTTCTCATAGGTATTAATTGTCTTTTCTTAGCCCTGATTAAGGCCTGAACTATGGCTGAAACGTCGACAAAAATTAAAATAAATAACATTCATTTATAATTTCTCTTCAATTATCATCTATTCTTCTCATTAACTTAAATATTATCAAATTTAAATTCTCAACTACATCGAAGTTAAATTTAAACATTTACTTTGATTGGTAAATTCAAGTTTCGTCTAAAATGTTATCCTAGACAGTTAAGTGCCTCGGTTTTCAACCACCGCAGACTTTATGGACAGACCCTTTTAAACTATGTATAATAGTCAGTGGTGCACACCTTTTTATAGAATTATTAACATCCATCCATCCATGATGAAGCCACGCTAAATGACCCAATTTCTTTTTAGGCCACCTTTGTTCTCGATTCTGTGATAAAATAATCTTACGATTCAAGTGGAAAGGAAATCGTTGTTCATGAGTTTTAGTACCTAATTAAATAGAACAAGTTTGCCGATATTCAGATTGAATATGCCCCAATTCCGCGAATTTTCATTAATAAAAAATTTGTAGGTTATGATGAGATAAAGCCATTCACGAAGTATTAGAAAGACGTTAATAATTTGATAAAAAATGGACTATAATCATATCGTTGTTAAAATATAGTCATTCGTGTTAAAAATTGAACAATGAATTATCATTTACATTAATTCAACTCCAAACATGGTGTGTCCCGTAATTGGAAGTATTTAATGAAGTGATGGTAAAAACGTCATAAGGAACAAAAAAAGGTTCAAGTTTCGTTTCGCTACTCCAAGACGGCGGCCTGTTTCAAGATCATCCAAAGTCTGCTAATCCTAGATCCCAAAGATAACTGGTTTATTAAATGCCATTTAATGAACTAAAAATAAAGCTAAAAAAACTTGAGGGATGTAATGTACAGTCATGTTCATGGGACCACTCTGATATTTTTATTATATAAAGAATTTAATCAAAGGCAGAGTCACAATGAATACAGGGTAATAGAAAAATCAAGTTTTTATGAATATTATATCACCTGAACAACAGCGGCGCTGCTTTAGTTTAGTCAAACATTTCCAACAAGCTAGAACAATTTGAAACCCTTTACAAGGTTAAGTTTCTCAAACAGAGTCAGTTCATCCAATAAGCTGGTCGAGAAACTTAACCGTTCAAAATGGCCTTGAATTAAGACATAATTGTTCTGTTATCAAGATGATCAAAGGAGGAAGCCTGAGCAAGCTTAAAGGAAAAGGAAACGGAGAAGAAGAATCGTGATTGAGAAAGGACCTCATAAACCCGAAGAGCGGACAAAGCGGATCTTTAAATTTTTCAATGGATTCCTTCGTGAGGACATCCAAGGTTCCACTGACCACGGCTGCCAACAGCCACTTCTCTTTTTGCCCAACATCAGGGTGAATCTTCCTACCTACACTGCTAAGAGCTAATGCCAAATCAAGGTCCTTCTACTAGCAATCTTTAATAAATATGTGTATATATATATATATATATATATATATATATATATATATATATATATATATATATACATTTTCTACGGTTAATCCCTTACCTCACCATTTATAGCGAACGAAGGGGGGCGGGGAAGAATGCTATGCGTACAAACAAACCCATTCTAACCACAGGCAGGAAATAAACTTCAACTCGCCCAGACCAGATGCGAACATGCGCCGCTAGACTCGAGGATATTCAGCGCGCAAGCGAGCAACGCCTCAACATACTCGGCCATCAAAGCCTCTCAATTATCATGGAGTATACAATAAGGGAAAGTACTGCGATTATGAAAAAAAAAATGAATCCGAGTCTTCAACGAAAATTCATTTCTCAAAATATACTGACGTCTAAATATACTGATCTCGCGAACATATCTCTGTGCATGGGTTGGGAATATGATCAACATAGCTAAAAAATATTAAGGCATACAACAGTGAAATTAAGTATTTCAGTTAGGCTTATCTCTGAGATGTTACAGCAACTATTTTTCTAGAGCAGCGTTAATGATTTTGACTAAACTCGTTATTTCGATGAAAAGTTGAATGATCAGATGAGACTGAAATGCCGAATATTCGATTTTTTTTCCTCCGAGTTACCTTTAATTTTTATTTATTACAAATAAACAAAAGTCTCTTATTTCATTATTAGTAATAATAAAATGTATAAATACGAACAATAAAAGAATTTGATAATTACCTGAAGGAGTAAACTAACCGGAAATAAGAGTAGAAATATTTACATATAATATAACGTTGGAGATAGAGTTAGAATGACCAAAATTTGATCAAATTGAATTATTGTAGTTAAAATAGTTTAATTTTGTATTATTGAGTATGAAACTAACGTTTCCATAGTTATTAACTGGAATTGCCATAGAAAATATAAAGAAAAATAATGCGCTTGATAAACCAAAAATATATACTGCAAAGAATTTGTATACTTTATGTTAACTTCTAATGTTTCTATTCATGTTTAAAGTAATTAGTAACTAATCAACACAGCTTTTATTAGTTCAAACTGCAAAATATCAAAGAATCTACCTATCAACTGTAATTTAATGATTTTTTAAAAATAAATATTATTATTTTTTTATTGAGTATTAATACAGTCTGCCACACTAAAGGGCATTGGTACTAGGCCTAGAGTATTCATTCACACAATATGTAAATAAGGAAGGAAAAGAAATATAAATAACAAATGTAAGAAAAAAAAATATATATATATATGTATGTATATATAAAAGATAAAGTAATATACAAGATAAGTACAATAATAGATTAAAGCCGAATGAAAATAAAATAAATAAAACACATTCATACTTAAATATTTTATTATGAACAAATTTATGAAAATGTAACTTCACATAATTCATGGATTCGTTAAACTAAAAATTAAAAGAGAAAGAGAAAGAAAGATTATAAATCAATTTTAGGCTACTGTAAGAGAAACCAGAACAAGTATATCCTGAGAAATAATTATGTAATGGTAGAGTTTAAGGAACTCCCACAAACGAGAACATGGGAAAGAAAAAACTGCTTCGCTATCTATGAGGAAAATACATTGATTTTTTTTTTTACGACTGAAATATACAACACAGAAAGTAAATTTAAAGTTCTTAAAGGTCATATAAAAATGGTTGATGGAAAAAATATCCAATTGAAGAGTTTCAACGGATATATTATTTTCATCCGTGCTTTCATTTAAGCCCTCTCAGATTCTTCTTGATTACAATACTACACAGGCGAATCTACTGGAGGGAGAGGGGAACTTTCGGCTAAATAATGGTAAAATATAGCCATTTTTTAATAGAAAAAATATTTAAAACTATCTCTTAATGTATTATTTTCGTATAACTACATTTAACAGGACTTCAAGAATCAGTTTACAACATCATTTATGTAGTAGTTAATTTTTGGTTTTTTTTTTTCAGTTTAATTATCATTTTATTTTTATTTTTATTTTTTCGGTTGACTCTACAGAACTTGTAAATCTTTAGCCGCCTGAACCAGCCTTCTCCACCTCTGTCATCTATTGCTTTCCAATTTGCGGCATGAAGCTCAGCCGCATCTTCGTTTATCCTATCTATCCATCTGGTGTTTGGCCTTCCACGTGGTCTTTTTCCACTAATCTGGCATTCATTGTCGCGTAAAGGCGTCCTGATGGATTGCTACGAGCTCCATCCTGCCCATCTTAACCTCTTGCCTTATGTCAACAGATATAGACGGACCCGTTTCTTTACAGTTCTTTGTTGTTCCTGCTCCTACATGTGTCAAGGTCTGGTACATATAGGTTGATATCCGACGCAGAACTATTCTTTCGAAATTCTCAATTCTGGCTTTAGCGTGCGGTTAGACCCAGGTTTTACACCGTACCGCAGAACTGGCTTAATCACGGCTGTGTATACTTTATTTTTGAGATTTCTGGAGATTTTTTATGGATTTCCGTACCTTTAAACAAGAGAAGACAGATTGTTCGCACGTCTTAGTTCGCTGGTCTTATTTTGTTTTTGATTGATTTATTGAGGTTAGTGTGGGAGCGAGGTATTTGATCTGTCTACTTTCGGGAATAAATGAACTTAAGAGTCACGCAGGATCCATGTTTGTATTACGGGGATGGTCGGCTAACTATCATGTATTATCGTTATATATATATACGTGTGAAAACATTTTTTTCGGGCTAAAGTCTTCCCCTCCCAAAAATATAAAAAATAAATCCTGAATCCGCCAGTCCAGGACTAAGATTATATTAAAGACCCTTTATGAATGAAGTATAAAAGACAGAAAGTAAAGTTAAAGTTTTCAAAGGTCATATGAAAAAAATATTTAACTGCCAAGTTTCAACGAACATATTTTCATCCGTGTTTCATTGTGTTTGATTGTGATTGTCCATTTGTCCTGCCAGACTATTCCAAAGATTAAAAGACTTAGGTTATACATAAGACCATTTTATATTAAATTATAATTGGTTTGTTCAGCTGAAAGCATTACTAAATATTATTGGTGAAGACGATATAATTTATGAAACTGCTCCAGCCATAATTACAGTTAATATTGACAAGATATTAAACAAATATGAACGAAATTTTCAAGAGAGTGAAGAAAACATTGCATAGCTCAGCTGACAGTGAACATTTTTTTTTAACAATGATCAGATCCCACAGTATGCAAATTACAAATAAATCAGAGTATATGATAAGGTTTCAGTTAAAAATGATATTGTAAATATCACTATACAACTTAAGTACCAAATATTCAACTCTATGGAAAATGATTCAATTATCATGTATCATTTATATGCCCAATATAAAATACATTGAGAATAAGAATTTACCAGGGTGTGGGAAGAGAATATTATATTTTTTATAGATATTGAATATATCTAATTATAGAGAACTGGTGGAGTAATCTCGAATAATGTCATATGAATATTATATCAAAAATATAGATTGGATCTCGGCATGTAATCGATTCAGATATTTTCTTGCTTATTTTCTTTGTTATGCAAGTAATCTTTTAATTTAACTTTAAAACGTAGTTTAATATTAATAATTAAAAAATAAAATGTATTTATTGTTATAATTTACATGTTCTGTTGAAAATTTTAGATTTTATAGTAATGTTAATAATTTGTATAATGAAAACAGTCTGGTTTTTGACCAAATATGAGTTTTAAATTATCCTTAAGATTGCAGTAATATTTAAATTGTAGTATAAAAAGGAAAAAAAAATTGGTAAACCATAAGGGTTTACCATAAGTTTATTATGTTTATAATACAGAGATAGACTCTATTTGTATGGGGTTCTTCCCTGAAACCGAATAAAGACCAAATAATCAAAAATAAACATTTTATATTACATTGATATAACTAGTTTAATCAAAATCATAAAAATTTATAATATCGATTATATGAAATGCCCTTATGTAAGTCAATTTCAGCGAAAAGGATGTCGTAACATACCAACTATATATTTGCCATAATTATTATACAAAAATTTATTTCTGTACAACTTTTCGTTTTTAAACTTAGTTTATCTTAATTCTGACCTTCAATTATATAAATGGTCATAAATTTAATAGGAATGACAATTCGAGTTTTTGCACTTAGTAATAGATTTCCTTTGGTTGTTATTTTTTTTTTTTGTTGCTCCTTTAATAAAGATAACATCTATTCCTGAGCTATCCCATCCATGCATAATATTTTGGTTGTCGTAAAACAGAGATAAAACACGACTAAATCTAATGATAATGTTTATAAGGAAAAAACAAATAGATTGGGTTTTGTTTTCTTCAGTCTAAATATTATGCAAATTAAAACAAACATTTTAAAACTTATATTTATTGATACAATAAAGAACATAATCTAAGGACCTAACAAAAATGTATAAAGGGGAATTTTTTGTTTTATTAAAAGAAATACATACAATACAAACTCATAAGGCATAAACAATAAGATATAATTGTAATTTAGATTAAAATATTTTTAGGTCATTAGTGTGGTAAATTTAAGACTTTATGATTACTTTATAATTGCAGTAGCTTGATAAATAAAGTTATATCTCAGTTTAATATACGTTATGCTCAATCCTAGTTTGTTTTCTTAATAATTAAGTACTAAAACAGAAATAGATTTAAAAAATTAAATTCTTGATTGTTATTAAGAAGTTCTGCCGATATTATAGTATATTTTTATGTTTATATTTATTATTATTATCATATTCAATACCAATTAACCTCTAAGGTGTTTCATTAATTAATTTTCTCTCTTCGAAATGTGGTAATTACCAAACCGCACTATCTAAGGCGATGTCATTTACTTATTTAATTGACTGAAAAGCCACAAACGATTTGGGTTGAAATACTCAATTACTTTTCTCAATAAATCCTTCCTGAAATATTATTAGTAATTAGCATATATATATAAAATATTTAAAATATTACCTTAGTTCTATTGATGGGGTTGGTGAAGTCCCAGCCAGGTGCGACGAATAGGTAACCGCACTTGGCTATTTTCCTCGAGGCCTGAAACAGATAGAAATCATAAAATAAAATAAAAGAATTATATGTATTTTACAATGTATGTTATGTAATTATTTATTTTATAGCGATAAAATAATCTGACAACAATCGAAACTAGTAAAATATATATTAATTAAGAATATACTTATAAAAAAAAATTACTCTGCTTAAAGTACTTACTGATTAACTAATTAATCATCATAAAATAATCCTACATCACTTCATCATTTAAAGATCGTATTGAATATGATTGAAAATTTAACATTTTAATAGGACGTATATGTGGTGTAACATTCCTGAAAGACAAGAACATCGGTATACATTTTGACATCGAAATGACATATTTTAATAAATAGTCTGTGGTACAGACACCTTTTTATCAAATTATTAACATCCGTCTGAAACTTCGTAGAATAGCTTCACCTCATCGTAACCAACAAATATTTCATCTACGAAAACTCTTAGAATTGGGGCATTTCAATCTGGAGATGGGCAAAATTTGTCTATTTAATTATGTACTAAAAATCCAATTCCACGAAAACTCCACGAAGTTTCAAAGGGATGTTAATAATTTGATAAAAAGGGGTCTGTAGTACTAATTAATTCCGGTTGAATATATTGTTGAATTAATTCAATGTTTGAAAAAACAAATAAAATTAATTATATATTTAAAATAAATAGCACTTCTGAATTTGTTTTGTTTTTAACATTTCATAATTTTTTTCCGATTTTTTTTTTAGCGATATGGCGGTAGTGGCAATAAACAGGTTAGACTTCTCAAGGCACCTTTGTAAATTAAACTTACGCGTTAAGTTTCAACCATTTAATTAAATAAGCAGGCACTGTAGAGATGTGTAATCCTTTAAAACTTGAAAAATCTGCACAAAATATGAAAGAGGAGAAAAAAAAAAGTTGAAACACCCAAAAAGAATTTCTCCATTTCTCTAACTCAAACTGAATTTACATTCAAAAGAGGGGCTGTAGAGATGCAGACAATTTTTTTATTTGAATTTATACCGGAAATGTTCATAAATTTTAGAATTGTGTTTGAGGGGCAAAAGGGGAACGATAATTAATTTCCCCTCCCTTCCCGATGTCCATCCATAAACTATAAAAGTTTATAATTTTCGGAATAAAAATCGCTGAAAATTATTTCACAATGGTTTATTATTTCAAAAAAATTATATATCTAAAGTAACATTACCTTCCTAGTTAACATAGAAAAAGAAATGTAAGATGATTTCGATTATTGGCCTAAATATTTTTTTTTTTATCATTAGTAATTTGATAAAAAAAGTAGCATTACTTCAGTAACACTTTCGAAAATCAATAACCAACACAAAGGATATAAACTTTGCAGTATAACATACAAAAATATCTAGACACCAGTTCTTTGTACCAAATTGTCCGATTTTAGCGTGTTTTTTTCTAGGAAATTTCGTGGACTTTTAAAAAACATACAATACCAACTCACAATACATACATACAATACCAACATATAATACAGTATATGCTTTTTGAGTTATTCAGAAATCTAATTTTACCACCCCTCGCAACTGTTTTTCCAGGTTCTTTTCGTTGTAATAGATATATTTAATTAAAGGGCATCGAGAAGGAAATTTCAGCTAAGTTTCATTGAAATCGGTATATTCGTTTAGGCGCTACAGTCTATAGCAACACACGTTTTACGGCCACCATCTTGAAAGGAAAATGCGGATAGTCATGTCGATGTAGGAGGATCATCTTTAAATCCAAATTTGAAAAAAATCGGTCCAGAAGTTTCGGAGCAAATGCGAGGACGGCGTAAGGAAAAAAATTTATTTTATTCGATTTTCGAATTCTACGTATCCTGAAACGTAAAACCTCATATTTTGAGTGGGGTTAAGTTTTTAATTTTTTTGGTTGATTACAATGGTTCATTATTGAAAATAATAAACCAAAATGTTTATAATTTCATAATGAACTGACAGATGAAAAAATATGAACAGACCTAAATTAATATTAAAATTGCATATATAATTTATGGACTCTCCCACTGCTTGTTTACGACGAAAATACCTTATTGTCCCAATATATGATAAATAAAAAAAAAAAATACTATATTCATGACTTCATCAAGCATACCATTAAAATACCGTATCTATGAGGAAGTGTCAGTAATCCATTGTAATAAGGATGGTCTTTAGGGTGTCATGGCAAACATTAGCGGCGCTAATACTGAATCCTTGTGAAACACCAGTCTTCGATTAGAAACTGGTCTTACCACCAACACCTGTATACACTATCGATTTAATTTGACACTACACCAATAAAGAACTAAACACTTTAAGATACCGATAAATTATGTTGTTTATTGCTGGATATATTAATGAGGAACAATATAAATTGTACGCTTCTAACCAGCTGATAAATGAATAAATAAGCTGGCTTTTCTTGAATGAAATAGATAAAAAAATATAAAGGTTGTAAGTTAAATGATATTTAAAAAAGTAAAACTTCGTATTGTCTTTTTAAAACGAATTTCACTATTTTTGTGCAACAGGAATCCATCAAATTTTAGGACAGCTAAGGAGCCATTAAGGTAAGATTATTCCTATTGTTTATAAGTAAAACTACAAACAATATTTAAAAGGAGGCTTGAAGCTGATAAACTACGTTTAGTTCCGTTTTTCGAAATATCATGAATTTTTCACGTTCTTTTTCCCTTAGGTATCAGAAGAGCACTCTCCCTCAATTTCCACAGGCTTTGGCACCAGAGAACGGTTTAAAGAGTAGTTGGGATCTCCTAAAGTACTGCTTTCCCTCGTCTGATTGTAAATAGTGTATATAGAAACAACGTCTATATTTTTAATTCCTTATCTTTGAGTTATTTTATTTCAATTATATACTTTTTGAATATTATTTAGTTAGTATTTTGCTTCTAATTATTTGATTTAATAATATTTCCTGTATATATAATGTGAATGAAGTCTTATCTCACTATAACCATTGTAGATGTTGCAGAATGTTGTATTACTCAATAAATAAAAAATGAAAAAGCTTTCCATTGACTACAAGTTGTCCACTTTCCGAAAAACCACTAAATGTTATACGAACTAATGGAGGACCCTGGGGTGCCCAAAAGTGGTTTCATGGCGCAAGTTACGCCACTAAAATTTATGAGGGAGAGGGCACATTTTGACGGGATTTTCAATTTTTGAGAGACATTTCGATGAGGTTATGAATTTTCAATTTTCAACAAGTGGAAGCATGGAACAGACAGCAGGATGTGTAATTGTATATATCCTATGGATATTTAAGTTCTACTTTCGTTTGAACTGTTTTCAAGAAGCAGAGAGCGATAAAATATCTTGAATGGGATGGGGAAGGATTATGAGCCATAGGCCTTGGGGAAGATGGGCATGGGCATCCCTGAAATGAACTATATCAGCTTGTAAGCTGTTTCATTCCTTTTAAGCCTCATGAAAAAACAAAACAAAATTATCATTTTTATGAATAACCTCTTCTTTTTATCTCCCAACATGCATAAAAAAAAAAAAAAAACATTCTGAGGAGAAGAGACTAAGATTTTTAGGATACCTATATTATTTCTCTTAATAGAAAACAATAACAATATATGTAACAAAAACTTTTTTTTTTTGTTCTTTTTAATAGTTGTTCATTTTGTAAAGCCATACTCGAACGATTAAGAGATGATTTATTATTTGAGTTTATTGCCTCATTAAATAAATTAACTATACGAATAGCCCTTCATTAATGCAGTGACTTATTTGAGAAAACAGTGGGAGAACTCTAGGGATTTTATTACCAGACTACGAGGCCCCCGCCCAGGCAGCCAGCATGTTATAGTCCTAAGGAGCAGTAAACCCGCCATGACTCATCAAGATAAATTAATTCTACACTCCAATAAAATACGAGAAAAAACATTTGGGCCGAGATAAAAAAAAAAAAAAGAGACTTAAATTAGGCAGGGAAATATAAAAGGGTATGTAGGTCAGGATTCATTGCGCGGTATCATTTAGGGCGATTGCGAAAACGGCTTTGCAACTCAACTCCAAAATACAAACCATTGATTCATGAAACAACCGAAGAAATATATAAAATCTGTAAAATATATCACAAAATATGAAATGTTTGTAGCGAAGTCATAGTCCGTGCTACAGAGTCCCCTTCTTTTTATCAAATTATTAACAACCATCTGAAACTTCGTGAAGAGCTTCATCTCATCGTAACCTACAAATATTCTATTTACGGAAACTCTTGGAATTGAAGCGTTTTCAATCTGGAGGTCAGCAAAGTTTGTCTATATTCGTAAATGCCCAATTGCTAATTAAATCTTAAGATAATTTGAGCACAAAATAAAAAAAAAGGTAGCCTTAAAAAATATTGAGTCCGTTGGCCTATGCAACCTCGTTATTTTGACATTTTCGGAATGTAGGTCAAGCCAAAGGGCTCAATATTTTTGAAGGTCTTCCTTTTTCTCGATTTTGTGCTTTTTTTAGTACCTATTTTTAAAAAAAAAATTTTTGGATTATTTGTTTATTGATAAATATTACAATCTGTCTCAATTATAGTAGAGTTCAGAGCATATTTACACCATATTTACAAAATCAAAAAATAGATAAGGTAATTTCAAAATAATATACAGCGAAATAAGAACAAAATAAAATATCATAGTGAAGGAAGAAAATATAAATAATAGTAATAATAGAATAAAAATAAATGAATGAAATAGAATTAAAATTTTCTTTAAAAAAAAGTAATAAAAATAAACTTAATTACTGCTTATTATTTTTATTTATTGTGTATAGTATGAATGAGCTACTTTTTATCACTATTACTATCGTCCTTGTATGTGACAGATTAGACTCAATAAAGAAATTTCCTAAAAAAAAAAAATAACAATAAAAATAAACATCTTAGACGCAGGCATTTACACTATTTACAATCGGCCATGGGAACTCCGAACCAAACTTGTCCCCCCACTTCTGGAGGGAAAGCGAGGCTTCAGGAGATCTCTGCGCTTCTTCCTCAACCGCTTCACTGGTATTAAAATCCAGTGGAGATTGAATAACGGTAGAAATACCTAATTAAATAGACAAAGTTTGCTAATCTCCAGATAAAAAACACACCGATTACGAGATTTTTCGTAAATATAATAGTTCAAGGTTACGACGAGAAAAAGCTATTTACGAAGTTTCATGAGGATGTTAATAATTTGATAAAAAGAGGTCTGTACCACGGACTATCCATAATGATCCAAGAAGGTGATTGGACCAGTATCAAAACTATCAAGTTTTTCCCTCAAAACCCACTGAAGGTATTCATCACTTTATTATATATAAAATATATTCTGGAATTATAGTTAATCCGCAGCAAATAAAACAAACAAATGGCTATAGCAAGACTCGAGGCCAGATATGCTGAATAAGAGTTTCAGTTGTGTAATATAACGGCTAATAAAAATTTTTTTACGCCAATATTTTGGACACTTGAGAATGATTTGAACTTGAATGATATCCATGCTGGTAACATGCACTGAGAATGATCCATAAGATTGGGTTGAAATGTTGGCAATGAAAATCTTATAAGCTGACTACGTCCTGAGTATCTCTTATCACCCAGCATATGTAGAAAAATCGACAAACTTCCTTCAATAATTTTTTTTAAATATTTTTTATTGAGGTATATTACATTTTATTCCAATCAAGCAAAATTATAACAGAGACCAAAGCACACATTCACAATATATTTATAGAAAATATAGGTAAATAAATCGAATAGTAATATTTCATAGCCGTGCCATTCGTATTACGAACCCATTTATTTAAATAAATTTAAATAAATAATAAAAATAAATTTAAATAAAAACAGCTTTATGTATGGAAAATTTAAATCGAGGTTAAAGAAACTATCCATAACAAGGTACCGAACCCTGACGATCATTCATAAATTGTAGCAAGTCAGTGTCGATGGTTCAATGGAAACAGAATACATCTCATTGACCTAGATGGGCTAATTAAAATGACCTAGCGAAAACTTTGGCAACGCGTCAACGGATGAATGATAATAGAATCTTCGACCTTGAAATTAGAGCCACTGAGGCATAGATCAAAGTGATTCATCGGAGGAGAACGGCAGAAATGGGAATAAATAAAACTAGAAAAAAAAGTGCTTAATCACAATAACATAACATTCTTATTTAAAAAAAAGGGAGTTATTATTGTTTTTAAATAAAATTTATTATTATTCTTTACATGCTTTGAACGATATATAACATTCCTAAAAGCATCGCTAATTCCATTGACGTAATCCAACAGTGAAATTGAATATAACACCGATAGGCAGCGATTTATACTGTGTTTAGAAACGACCTGCAGGATTTCAGCGAAAAGTTAAATACCCTTGTAAAGTTGAAAAACACTTACTTCATCTCTTCGTAACTTACAACTTTTTTATTTACGAAAATTCTAGGAATTGGGGCGTTTTCAATCTGGAAATCGGCAAACTTTGTCTAATCAATTAGATACTAATTACATAGTAACTAACCTCATGTCCCGAAACTTAAAAAATAGAATTTACAAAACCATTATCCTTCCCATGGTTCTTCATGGATGCAAAACGTGGCCGCTTACATTAAGGGACGAGTAAAGTGTAAAGGATTTTGAAAATAAAGTATTGTGCAGAATATTTGGAACAAAGAAGGATGAGTCAACCGGAGAATTAGGGTGATTACAAAACGCTAAATTGCGCGAAATGTAATCAGCTAATATACTCGAGATGATTAAATTGAGACGAATAGGATGGGCATGTAAAATAGCTGGGCTTAATAACGAAAGAATTACTAAAATTAAGCGCTACGTCGACTGGCAAGCGTCCGAGGCGTATAACAAAGCGAAGTTGGAAAGATTGCGTTAAGACTGATCTGGAGGGATTGGGTTTAGATGGCGTCCGATGGATGGAAGAAAGTGGACATCGATTGGTGGCATCGAATCTTCGGGTTAGCTACGCATTATTATTATTAATTATATACTAAAAACTCATGAACAAACATTTGGTTTCCACTTCAATAGTAAGATAATTTGATCACGATATCGGAAAGAAAGGTGGCCTACAAAAATATTGGGCCGTTTGGCTTGACCTTCACCCCCAACATGTCAAAATAACGCCCAATATTGTTGGAAGACATATTTTCAACCCATTTATGATCAAATTATCTTACAATTCAAGTGGAAAGACAAGGGTATTTATGAGTTTTAGTACCTCATTAAATTAATTAATCTAAGAAAACGCCCCATTATCAAAACTGTATATGTTGTATACATATATGTAGTTTTATGTATATTCTTTACTATTAGTCTATAGTTTATGATAAAATAAAAATATTTTATTTTTATGCTCGTTACTAACAATGGGTAATAAAAATAAAAATTCAGAATCATATATTTTAAAATTGAAATCATTTTAACACAAATAAAACCCTTTTTTTGGATTTTTTTTAACCCATCAAGTTTCGCAGATAAAAAAAAATAGGTTACGATAACTTGAAGCCATAATTGTAATATATCAATACTATGTTACTTAAACTAACTATGTATCTCAATACGCGTTATATCGCAAGATGGTAGGCGTAGAAATATATGCACCCATTACAGGGTTACTGTAATGTGGAAAAAAAAAAAAAAAAAAAACTTGAAGCCATCACCAAGTTTTAGGCGGATGTTTATTTATTATAAAAGGGTCTGTATCACGAACAATAAACTAAGAAACAACAACACTGAGGTTATAACCCACGAAATCCGATGGAACCGCTTAGCTTTTTGATTTTTATTCCAATCAAGCAAAATTATAACAGAGACCAAAGCACCCATTCACAATATATTTATAGAAAATATAGGTAAATAAATCGAATTTATTCAATCAATGAATAAAGGAACGCAGTGAATTTCATTGAGGGTTCGATCGATGAGTTCATGCACGGTCTGGTGGATTTCTGAGGTCATCGATGAGCTCAATGCTGAGTTTAGGAACTGTCCCATACATAAAAGGCAAATTATTGATTACACGCAGAAAACTTGCTTGATCATTAAATATACGACAATACAAGTTGTATATTTTAGTAAAAATCTAGTTCCATTTCCAGGACACTAAGAAATTTTATAACAGACATTAGTAAATTTTCTTTTTTTCATTTTTATAAAGCAATAAAATACGTTATCTATAAGGGACTGCAGTAATCAAATGTAATAAAAACAGTCTTAAGGGTGTAAAAAATAAACATTAGTAGCGCTAATACTGAATCCTGGTGAAACACCAGTCTTCGATTAGAACTGGTCTTACCACTAGCAGTAGCATACACCATCGATTTAATTTGACACTATACTAATAAAGAACTAAACAATTTAAGATACCGATAAATAATTATGTTTATTGCTGATCTTATCTTAATGAGAAACAATAGATGGTATGTATTAAACTACCCGATAATAAATTAATATAAGCTATTTTTCTCAGAATGGAATTGAAAAGAATAAATAGCTAATGATGAAATTAATAAAATAAAATTTTGTGTAGTATTTCTTAAATTCATTTTTACCATTTTTTGTTCAACGTTGTAAACGTTAATCTTAGGATAGCTTAAAAAAAATATTTAAGTAAGATAATTCACATTTTTAACAAAAAAAACACAAAAAACATTCACGCTGCTAAGATCAGTTTATGGCAAAATTGTGGATATTTTTCTTAACCTTCAACTGGACAGATTTTCCACTTTCCGAAAAACCACTACCTGTTATACGAACTAATAGATTAACTATATCATCGTGTAAGCTGTGATACATTTTAATTCCAATAAAAAAAGGAAAATAAAACAAA